TGAGCTTTCTTAAAAATAAGAGTGGAGGCTGAAGTGATTTAACATGTGGTTGTAAGCCCTTGTTAAATTTGGTGGATATCTTCTATCATTTGATAAATAGTAGGGATTTAGGTACTATTTTGACAAGTGCTAGGTACAATTAGCATGTATGCATTGTGGAAATCCTCTAGGATCCAAAAAGAGGGATATAGGGAAGAGTGTTTTGGCATGAAGGAGTAGGACATGAAAAATTAATGACCAGTGGACTGAAATGTATCAGCTGTCATTGCACCCCAGGTCTGTTTACTGTACGGTTTTTTTTAAATGTTGTTGTCCTTGGAAGCAAACAAATAGCGATTTTGCTCTTACCATTGCTCTGAATTATCAAACTGTTTGCTGGTTTCTTGATCTCCGATACATTGTTGGTTTTACTGTTAGCAGTGTTGTTTTTTTTCTTTCATGGAGACATGTTCAGTGTGACAGGGATGAACCAGGATACCTTTGCTTTTGGTCTTTTCTCTGCTTTGTGTGATGATGCTTTTTGGGTAGCTTTTTCTCTTCGTGCTGTTTTCTGAGAATAGTATAAAGTGTCTTCAGGACTGGTGATGAAGCAGCAAGAGTAGAAGGGTTTTTGTTACGGTGATGCACAGGAAGAATGGGAAGATACAAGCTATAATGCTTCATTATACTTGTATGTTTTTAAGTAAAACGAAGCTGGGAACTACCAAACAATAATCCAGGCAACACGGACCATGGTTCGTTCTTACCATTTTTTGCTGGGGGGAAGCGCGGTGTCTTTTAGCCCTCAGGCGGTCTTTCACAGCTGTGTCCTAGCCCTTTACAGGGGCTTCTGTGCCTTCTTTTTCCACGGTGGCAAAGACAGCACAACCGCCTTTTTGGGGCCACCAGGGTCCTGGGCTATTTTAGGGCTGCCTTTTCTTAAGCTCATGGACTCTAAGCCGACTCTAAGGGAAATGGTTTCTGCCTGTGCTTCAGCTGTTACCTACCTGAAGTTAACCTCATTTACCCTGTCCAGCCCTTTCCCTCCCTCTTGCAGGCAATAATAACCTTGCTTTTGTGAGCGGGGAGAGTTTCCTCCCCTCTCGGTGCACCTGCCCTGCCCCAGTAACTTTGGCAGCAGAAACACCTCACTGCCGCGAGGGGAGCGAGGCTGGGCCGGGCTGCCCTTCGCCCCTGGGTGGTCCGGGGGTCGTGGGAGGACAGACTTCCCTCGGCTGTGGCCTGTGTCCGAATCTCATAGCCGTGCTGGGGGCAGTGGAGTAGCTTGCGGTATTCCTTGCTCTGCCTCTGGGTGCTGTGAAGTCAGTTTGTGCCTGGCCCCCACTTGTCCTGCCTCTCCGGCCCTGAGCAAGAGAGTGATGTCTGTATGTGCCTCAGTTTCCTTCTGTTTTCTGGCAGCCTTCATAGTGTGGTTCTCTGCAAGAAACACTTCTTTCTGATTAAGTCTTAAGAAAGAGATGGTGTTACAAGTTACTGTCCCCACATGACATTCATGTACTTTTTGACCTCTGGGAGGAGGCGTCTCTGTTTCCCGCCTTCCTCTCCTGACTGCTACTGCTGCCAGGATGGTTTTTATCACACTTGGGTTTGGTTTTTAGGAATGACAAAACTTGGTTAGGATTGCAGTCAGTTTGTCATCCTAGAAACTTACTGAACCAGTGTAGGGTAAAGAGGAGCCTCTTCCAGGAGAAATACCTACCTCCTGCTCAACCCTCACCCTTGTATGTGACCTCCGTGGCTGCACAGTCCCCTCTTTATGAACCTGGGGAGACTTGCAGACTGCTTGCTTTCATGCCCTCATGCCGTCATTCCTGACGATAACTGAAAATGGTGCCTACTCAAAAGGAAAGATTTTAGGAGTCAGCAAAAAGGAACAATGACAGACTCAAGTCTGACATCTTTGTCCCTCATTCAGGTGGGGCTGCCAGAGGGAAGCAGTGGTTATGTACCTTTTTCCAAGCCACATGAAACCCATCTGTTTGAGGGATGCTTCCTTCTCTTGTTCTCCTTCCCTCCCTTGCTGTGTATGGCTGTTCTCCCAGGTGTGAGATGAGGAAAGAAAAGGAGACCTGTTACATTTACAAACCAGTCAAAGTGAAGGACCTCATGTCTTTGCAGCTGCAGGGAGTGAACTTTGTCTCTCCCAGAGGCATTTTCATAGTGCACTGGCAGTTCCAAAGCTCTGAACAAAAAGCAACTTATCTCCAAGAAAGACAGGCCCTTTTCCTATGCATAACTGTCAAAACTGTGATTAGCGCACTTCCCTTGCCACACATGGGAAAAAGCTGCTAAGACACGCTCCATGTTGAAAATGAAATGAGTTTTATCACGTTTACCTTTCAAATCCTTTTTACATACAGTTGTTACAGATAATACCTGACATTATTTACACTAGAGAGACTTGATCTTTTTTTTCTGTTTTCCTGAGATTGTTTCCTTCATTCATTTGTTCAGTTTCATTGTTTCTTGTGGACAGCAGTGGATGCCCGTCTCCTCTTGTCATTCTTACTCTCCGTCTTTCACACAGCAATAGCAAAGGGAAGATATTTCTCTCTACTGACACAGATAGACTGCCTGTTTCTGGCTTCTAGCAGGATTTTTGTTTGTTTCAGACAGAGGAACAGATGACAGGTAGGTAAGTGAACAAAACTGAGAAAGGCATGCTTGTTAAATTTTAAGGCATGCTTGTTAAATTTTGTTTCCCTGGACACAGCTGAAATAGATCATCATGCAATGCCAAAATCCTCAGCCTTTTTTCCCAGGGTTGTGCTATAAGCTCTTTTCTGATTCCATGCTACTTTTTCTCTGCCTGCTACTCTGATGTTTCCCTGTCTCTATCTTGTATGCTTAGCATAAGCCAAATAAATACAATATCCATGCATGTGTTATCAGACATTTTGAATCACTTGACTCAGCTGCTGCCAAACTTGCTTTATGGTCAACTTCTTGTGTGTGGTGTTTTTCCGTGATTTCCAGCTGTCAGCACTATGAAAAATGATTCCTCATTTAACCTGAATGAAAAACAGCTCTTATGTCTGGCTACCCTAGTGAGATGATGGATTGGCCCAACTTGTGCCATGAAAAAGTACACTGAAAATGTGCTTCTGAGAGAACAAAAACTCAAGGACACACTTTGACATAGTACCAAAATTGGTTTGTAACTCCTTTTATAAGACTAACAAGAGGTCAGGCTGGTTTTTTCCAATCAGTTTTTCCAGCAGTCAAGTCCTATTTTTTCTCAGTCCTGCCTGCAGTGTGAAAAAATCCAGTCACTTGTCTTCTGGAATATTTTTTGGAAATCTTGAGTATTTAGCAAGTTTTGTACAACGGATCTATCTTCTAATCAAACCAAAATAGGGCACTTTCTTCTGTTTCAGTTTTGAGGTTTTTTTCAGGATTTCTACCCTCCAGTTTTTGTGTGGCCGTTAAATTTCAAACATTTTTTTTCTGCCATACCTATTATATGAATACCCACAGGACTCTTTTGAGTATCTATATAATGTTTCAGTGGTGGGGTCCATGGGCCTCTCACAGGTCTTACAAGGAGTTCCGGAAAACTGTGATATTTGTTCCCTTGTTGGCAGCTTGAGGGTTCGTGGTTCTGTTTTGAATAGGAATAGGAAAATCGTTGATTTGATTTGCCAAGCCTATTTAGTTCAGCACAAACCACTACAACATGCTTCTGGATACCCCATTTGAAACTCATGGTTTGAAGATGGCAATCAGATTAAGATTATAATCTGCCAACAATTGGAGGGGGGGAGGGGAAATGAACAAAAAAAAAAAAGACAAAAAATTCCAGACCTTGACACATCTGTTCAAATTCCCTGTAATTACCCTAAGTTTCTTCCAGTCCAAAATATTTTAGAATTTGCTTCCAGATCTTGGTTTCATTGCAGGTGTGTCTGTTCTGGTTTGCAATTAGCAAATCTAGTTTGTATAAAAACATATCTAAATGTTACATATTTTTAAACAAATTAAGCAAGCAGATGCTTAGACGAGAGTTATGCATGTAGTTTCTTGGGTGGAATTGTGTTTCCAGAGTGACCTGCAAACCTAAACACCAGTGTCACTTTCTCAGCTGTTCTGTGGAAGGAAACCTGGCAGCTGCTGTCTCGTACTGTAGGCTACTTGTGGCATGCTCCGGGCTTCTGGCAATAGAATTAATATGCCAAACCAATACTGTGATTTAAACGTGTCTATTAATTGCCCTGCACTGAATAAAAAGCTCAAGTGTAGTTCAATTATTAGAGATGTCTTCCTTATGCTCATTTAGAACAAAATGAAGACTATAGAAAGAATATATGATTAAATTGAAAAGCAGGTATCTTAAACTTAGGCAGGAATAAAACAGTCCTTAAGAATTCACACAAAGTACTTGGTTTCCTTCTCTGGTTTTTATGGTCACTATACTTTTAAATATTTTTGGATTGAAAACCCTCTGTCTGTTTTGATTCAGCATCTGACTTACGTACACATGTTCATCCTGTTAAAATACTTTGACTCAGCGGAAGAATTATGTTGAGCAAATATATTCAGTAACTAGTAAACGAGAAAATATTTTACTTGTAGAATGTGAAAATGTAGATTGTATATCTGCATGTTTTGAAACCTCAGAACACTGGGTTTGTCTGTATAGACTCAATAGTAAAATTTTTCTAGCTGTTTTAATCTGAGAATCTTTTTTCCTTTGGTTAACCAGGGTCAGGTGATGTTCATGGAAGAAACCCTTCACACTTCAGATGGTGACAAAAAAGAACAGGCAGCCTAATGCTACCAAACTAGGGGTGTGTCAAACCTCTCTCAAGAATGATAAACTCAATGGAGTTGTCTATTTTTAACCTCCTGTTCTTTCCTTTTGGCAGACTAATCAGTGTTAGCTGAGCTGTTTCACTGAATGAATCCAAGCAACTCTGTTGCTTTCTGAAATGAACAGCGGACCTTGCAAGAGCATTTCTTTAGAGTCTGCTTTAATGTATGAAGTCCCATTTTGAAACACCATGTCAAATGAAGCCAGTTCGGAGCAGAAGCTTTCTACAACAACAGTCAGTTCAGTTGCTGTTCAGGCTGGGGATGCCAGTATTGTTATAGCTGTACTTAAGGTAAGGCAGCAACTGCTAGCATGTCTGTTCTTGGCTTTCTGTTGCTGAGTGGTTACTACTTTTAAATGTTCTGCGCGAATGAATAGTTAGCATAAAATGATAAGGCAAGGTCATGTAATCAGTTAATATCTAATAGAACTTCCCTGGAAGTTAACACTTTTTTCTGTTCACAATTTCTGTTTGTGGTATTTTTTTTTTAAATAGAATAAATAATTTGGCTAAAATACGTAGACTCTTAGAGGCAAGGAATTCCTCTTACTCTGTTTGAAAAGTAAGAGATAAATGCAGAGTGCCATGAAAATGTGTTAATAAGCATGATGTTACCTTTAATCGTGGTTGAGACTCCTCAAGAGTTTTTTTTAAACTATACTCAGCAATAATTTTTATATAATAAATAGTCTACCAACTCCATAAATGCAGATTATGTGTCTTTTTTTGAAGTATTTGCTGGGGAAAAAAAAGCCTAAACCTGATAATGAGTGGTTATTTTTGAAAGCTATGAATTCATATTCCCATGTGTTTTAGTAGAAGCCCTTTTGTGTATATAGTTGTGCTCATAAGCAGCTAAAGGCCTGTTCTGTGAGCTGGAATCCGCACCTTACACAAAATTTGGCATGGGGAGTAAAGCTAGATGCCTAGGTACTGAATCCCACCTGGAATTTATTGGCAGTTTGATTCTTCATTCTCCAAGCAGCTTGGAAAACACACTAGACTCAGCCACTAGTTTATCTGTAATGCAGAATAAGGTGATAATAAGTTGGGCTGTCACCGAATTAGGGTGATTATTCAGGATGGGGTTACCCGAGTTGTGCCGGTGGGAAGGTTCTCTCCTATCACTTCTCACCCTTCCTGGGAGACTGTCTGCTGCCGCAGGGGAGTAAGTTTGTTGCAAGGAGGCTTAAGTTTAGGGTGAAGACATTTATTGTTCCCCTGTGTGCTGTGGGAACCATGCTAGCCTCCAGTGACATCACTGCTTCGTTCCTTATCACCATCCTCTCTGAGTTATACTTCTCAGACTGTAGCAGTTCTGCAACACAGTGAGGAAAGAATTAGTCATGCTTTGGGTTGCTGTCAAGCTTCCTTTCTTTCTGTATCCTCTGGGACACAATGGGAGATTGCTGTTTGGGTTCCTATTCCAAAGGCTATTCAGTGTCCCTGCTGCTAGTTGTGCAATCCCTCTCTCTATATATTCAGTATACAGAAAATACTCTGTGGTAGAAATAAGATTTGGGGTTATGGCTTTTGCATCTGCTGTAATATATTTGTACCTTCCGCCCACCTCTCCACCCACCAAGTTTCCTTAACTATCTATGCAACCTTCAGCTGAAAGGGGAGATGAGTTGGAGAAACATTTTTGGCTCATTGTGATGATCTCAGTCTTCACAGGCAAAACCAAAATCACAGTAGCTATTGGGTAAGACTAGAGTCTGGGGTTTTGATACCTGTTTCAAATGAAGTGAAGTTTATGTTGTATCCTCTGTGTCTTCATTCTGCAGCTGAATACAAGTTTATGGGTCCCTGTGCTCCTATGACCGTGGAAAGTATTGTGACCTGAGAGTCTGTGTGAGTAAATAAATGAAGGAAAACTTGTGTTTTCTGAAGGCTGTAATTGTTTACTTATTACAGTGTGGAAAATGGGTGAAGCTTCAGCTGGCTGAATCAACACCAAATTTATTAGAAATTGGCAGCAATCAAGATGAGACTAAAAAACTACTGCAAGATCATGAATTCCTCCTAGCTAAACTTAAGGTAAGATGTGATAAGACCACACAAAAATACACCTAGTCATTGTAGTTCAGGTACAACAGTTGACATAGCTGCCTGGGCCTCCTGTTGCAATGTGGTTGTTAGGTTAAACTCCACATAGAAAAAAATATGTTCAGCCTTTGCCAGTGTAACAGATCAAAGTTACGCCTCTGCACTGGAAAACATGCTCAGTGTTAATTACTATTTTCTGACAACAGTAAATGATGCCCTGTTTTTTCCACTTTATACATTACTGTCAAGTCAAGCGAAAAATTCCTATAGCCCTCAGTAACTGCTAAACATAATGGAATGTCAATTTTTTTTTTATTCTCCAATGTTATGAAAAGTTTGATTAGATTATAACAGCTGTAAACACAAGCAAGCTCTTTGTGTGAAGTAGATATTCCAGGCACGTTTTTATTGAATATTAATTGATGTAAGTTATGGTAAGAATGATATTGTAACATTAAATATTGCTTGTCTTGAGCTAGGAAGATTTTAGCTAAGTGACAGTCCTAAAATCAGATTTTAGCATTCTTGAGAGCAGATTATAAAAACAGTGGCATTTGGAAACAGTGACATGCTTGCGTGAAAAAGATGAATTGTTTTCAACATGGATGTTTGACACTGAGAAGAGTCTAAAGGCACCTAAGAAGAAAATTTGTTTTCATGTTTTGATAGGGCAGATTGACTTTATATCTGTAGACAAATAAATTCCTTTAAAATCTTGGAGCTGTGCACAGCAACTTACCTTAATAGATTCCATCTTTTTTTTTTTTTGAGATTACATAAAATTCAGATCTGAAAGAGCAAACATGATCTGGATAGGATCAAGTGCACTTGATTTAATACTAGTGACTGTGCTTCCCCAGTCATTATAAATCTCAAACATGAGGTGATTTAGTACATTATATAGAATATGATCTAATATGGTGCATAGTGTGGATTTTGAATATTATGAAGAATAGCATTACAAAAAAAAAACCAAAAACAAAAACAAACAAACCCCACCAAAACCCAAAACAAAAAAACCACCCCAAAACCAGAGAGGGTGGTTCTACTATCTTTACTCATGCGAGTGCCTCATCTTTATTGCCATCAGTGCTACACTCAGGCATTCTTCGAACAAGCTGCTGTATCCTGTCTGAGCAATTCAGCATTAGCTGAGTTCTTACATACTGACAACAGGAAGAAGCTAAGTTTTTTCTCCTAATTATCAAAAATAAACTTTAAAGAGAGGAAAAAGAAAACATAGTAATTACAATCTTTAAAAGAAACACAAAGGTTCAAATAACATTTTACCATCAAGTCAAACCTTAAAGTGTTATATATTTATATTAAATATTATTTGCTAAGGGAAAGAAAATAATGTAAATATTGTTCCAAGAGAGACCTTGTAGGTGTGGCTGAAAACTTGTAAGGACATGAACAAGGACAGTAAAACAATAAAGTCCCCTCCATAGGCTCCAATTTAAAAACATTGTATTAAAGAAAACAGAAAGTAAAAAACAAAGTAAAAAAAAAAAAAAAAAAAAAAAGCTGTGATAGATGAAATCTCTAGATGTATCCCCAAGCTGTTATTCCATTTTTGTTTTAAAATCTTTAAACTAAAATTAAGTTTTGGATATGTTTCTTTTCATTAAAAATTTAATTAAATAGTGAAAAAATTAAATAATCCAAAAGCATTTCATGCTCTGATGCTCATCAAATGTTTGACTTTCTATTCCTATTAGTTTAGATGCATGGAACCTTAAGTTTGTTTTTCATTTAGCAGTGTTTTACCTTGTTTTCTGCTCACAATAAATAGTAAAATAATAAAATAATCACAAATATTTTAGTTAATATTGATGAAAACACTAACATTTTTCACTCTTATTTGTGAGGCCTTGTGACTGATGGCTTGAACCCAGATGACAGATCCTTATTTGGATGCCCAAAACTTAATAGATTATATCAGATCAGAAAATTTATTATGCATAAACTGTTAAAGAATGCTTGTCATCCAAATATATCAGGAACAAATACTCATTATTTCATGTTTTATACCTGCAGTCCTTGCAAAATTCACCATTGATTAATGAACATTCTATAAAAGGATTAAGTTCAAAATTACTATTTTCCTCAATAATTTAAGAGCTGCAATAATACAGGACTGCAATGTTGTCATAATTTGTACTGACTGTGCATTTTTCAGACACAACCCTTTCTGTCTTATAGTAAGCTGTTAACACTTGTCAGTAATTACTCAGTCTTAAGTTACTAAATCCACTGATCAAAAGTTTTTACACAAATGATTCTCAATCTTTGAAGTATTGATTATAGTAATATTTTTCACTTAGCATTTGTTCATGAATTATGCATTAGTTATGTGAAGATAGATAAAGAGGTAGTAATGTTTCAGTTTTCAAAATTTACGGACATAAAGATTTATGAGAGGATAAAAAAGAATTTAGAAATGTGGGCAGGACAGGGGTTGAAAGGATGACACAAAATTGCAGTTGTTAGATGGTCCTTGTTTTGATGGTGTCCAGTATATGCAATTCTGTTTGATCTTTTACCCGTCGTGAACGACATAATTTTATAAATTTTAACAATATTAATTACACAAATACATGAACGTTCTCCCAGCTGCGGTCTTATCCAGAGCAGTTTTTAATTTTTCCATATCAGCTACTAGTTATTATTTTCATTGACTATCTTGTTCCAACTGACTCTATCAATGATAGTCTATGGCTGCTTGTAACATATATATTTTTGCTCTTAATTAGACCTTGGCATTTGGAATGTGCTCAAGTAAAACTTGTTCCAGTTATGTGGCAACATTGTGATATTTTATCTCAGGTTTACATATATTTTTAAAACATTTATATGCAACTGTAGTCATGCTAATATGGCATATAGCAAATCAGAAATACCTTGTTAGAACAGCACATTTATGAAAGTGAAGGCTTCCATAAAATATATTACGAATACCCATCAAAAAAGATCTTTTAATTCAAAATAGTGTATTTATTACACTTAATATTTATATTGATGATGATCTGAATTGCTTCCATGATTAAACTTGTTTGAATTTAAAAAGTTGCTAAATGCCATATTAGCTTCATTTGTTTTTTATCAGTCTGTAAATTTTCAAAGTAAGAAGATTAGAAAGTTACATTATAGCAAGAGGAAAAAAAGGGGTTTTTTTCTACTGTGCTTCATTAAAAAGAAGGGAGGATGGAACCCTTACGTTTTTTAATTTTAGAGCTAGAAATGGTTTATGAGTAGAAAACAGTATAATTACGAATTTCTCCACTTGGATCCCCAGGAAGTGGATGCAATTTTGTATGTTGTGGAATTTTTCAGTCACCTGAATTTAAAGTACAACAGTGAGGCAGCTTTGAATTGTTTTTCTATTTCTTTTTTTTGTTGTATTAAAAAGATGCAAAACAAATCATGTTTCCTGACAGATACCAATACTGGAGACACATATGCTTAACTTTGCTTGGACTGGATTAGTTCAACCCAATTCAAAGTTAAGCATTTGTACAGGACAGGCAAAAATTCCTGAACCAGCAATGATTTCAATGTGAAACTAGTCCTGCTTAAGGGAAGAGTTAGATAATTAATACTAAACACATCTTTGGAATCAGTGCTGAAGAACCTGTGGACTTTTAGAAGATACTATGGACTTTTAGAAGATAATTTATGGAATAGTTGACCATTCTGGCATTATCCTGTGTTGTTTTGCAAACTCATTCTGGGTTCTGATCATCCTTTCGCTTTTTAGCTGCATTATTCTCATCCCAGTATATGTACTGTAAGATATAATCAAAATATTCAGGCCATTCTTTCACTGACTTAATACATTGAGGATTCATAAGTGTAAGGAAGGACAAAATTTGGCACAGTGATCAGTTTCTAGTACTTCTGATGCTGGGGAGGAAGAAATGTAACCCAGCTCACTATTCCAGGGAACTGTTTTTGACTTAGCAATGTTAACAGGAGTTAAAAAAACCCGAACAACCAGTTTGGCACTCAATAAGGCAGATGGTACTTTAAAGGGTAATAGAAGGAACAGACCTGTTGAATGGGAAAGCAGTAATTTTTAGAACATTTCTTTACTGCTTTTAATGTTCAGAATTATTGTGATAAAAACTGATGTGTGTACCTTAGGGCATTAGGAAAAAACATATCCAAAATACCTTCCTTTGATAGAAGGTACTCTATCATACTCATTACTGATTTAAATTTGTTCCATTGAATTTGGGCATTGGGAACACCCTACTATTTTAATAAAAAGCAGAATACAACTTTTGAAAAGGTCCCCATTTCAAATGTTTATGGATTAGGAAACAGACATGTTATTGTTAATAGAATTGAAAGAATAAATGCTGAACAGGAAATGGTAAAACAGTCGTTTCCAACAGAAGCCCTATCTGGAGATAACATGCTGTCTTAGTGTCTGAATGTCCCAATATTAATGCTTTCTGGACGATTTAAAAAAAAACAGACTGTGCGTGTGTTGCCATGCTTTTGGCTATGACAGTGTTAAAATCCCCACTAAGACAAACAGTGGCATTCTTAGTTTGCTTCCAAAGTTCTGTTTTTTATCATGAAAGAGACTGTGGCAGAAACACTACAAAACAGAAATAAATTGAGCCTATAAACTTAAGTTTAAAACCAACACTGTTATTAATTTGGCTCATGAACCTGAAGATTGCTCCTAATTATTTTATTTACTTCAATTCACAGAGCGTAAATGCAAAATAGTAATTTATATGCTAATATCCAAGAAAAACAAATTAGGAAATTACATTATTCAAAAAGTGATAATATAATATGCTCATTTTTTGCATTTTGTATCTTTTAAATAAGTCTTTCAGTTATTTCAAGTAAAAATATTTTCATAATGCTTATTTTTCAGTAAACTTGTTATGGAAAAAATATTTGTTAATATCTTCTGAATTATTAAATATTAATTATTGAGGTGCCCAACAGTACAATTAGCAGCAAAGTTC